TCAGCTATTAGGGAGAAGTGTAGTTTTGCTAGTAAAGTGATCGAGATTATAGAAAGGAGGTGGAACACCAAATTTGGACGTCCAATTCATTATGCTAGGAAATATATATTTATATCATTAAAATGTTTCATTTTAAATCATTTTTTTATGAAATTGTAAAAGACATTTTTCTATTTATATATTTTCTAAGTTACTACTTCAACCCAAAATTTTTCTATTTGACACCTGAACATCCCACAAGATTATGGAAGGGGTCAGATACATTATTGCAAGACTGGAGAGAAGCCAACGAAACCAAGTAGCAGTAATACAAGAGGTATTATTTAATGTTTGGGTAAAAACTTCATTGAGTTGTTATATTTGTGAGGAATAATGCACTAAAACGAAATATATTTGTTTTAGCTTGCTATGTATAAGGATGCTATAGGATCTTTCGGAACTAAACTTGCCAGGAATTCTCGAACTAAGATGGATCCAGGTTATCCCCTCGCTAATATTTTGTTCATTCATATATTTAATCTTATAAATTGTTCTTACCCTTACAATGCTTTTTACATTTTAATCCAGCTGAATGGTGGGAGATATATAATACTGATGCACCTCACCTAAAGAGGATAGCAATCAAGGTGCTCTCCCATATATGTTCTACTACTGGCTGTGAGTGCAACTGAAGTACGTTCCAATGGTTGCACACTACTAGGAGGAATCGACTCGCTTCGGAGAAGCTTGATAAACTAGTCTACGTTCATTATAACTTAAACCTTCGAGAGCGACAAATAAGAAGGAAGCTTGAAGATTATGGGCCGATAGACTTAAACACAATATTTGTCGCAGACACAGTAGACCAATGGGTAGTAGAAGAGGAGGAACCAGTGTTACACAAGAGAGCGTTCCGTGAGGCTATCGGTGAGGAAGATCTGGAAGAAGGTGATGAGCAGCATGAAAGAGGAAGCAGCCAGCCAACGTATCCACAATTCGTCGGAGATGTCGGTGATATTGCACCTAATGAGGGAGAGTGGAAAGGGGGTCTAAGGGAAAATGAGAGAGATGATGTTTCTGAGGCCACCCTATCCCAGCCATATTATTTACATATCGAGTCCTAACAGCAACAGTGTAGGGATGAGTACGACAGTGTAGGTGAGCATGAAGGATGGACAAGCTTCGGGGATTTTGGATTGGGAACACAACAGAACACTAACACTCAGGGATTTGGGTATAGTAAGACGCTTGCTAATATCGATGATTCGTTTTTAGATCGAATCAATGAATTGTCAAACGAATTCAATCAATGGCACCAGCGTGACCAAGAAGAAGAACGACGTCGTCTGTCATTTTATTTTTAGATCGTATGTTACTAATTGTATGCTTTATTGTAGTCCATATATGTTGATACTAATTCCATGATAATTCTATGTTTATCCTTTTGTGTGATGTAAATTAAATGATAAATAGTAGTTCATGTAGGGAAATAACATATCAATATTTGCATATTCATGCAAAGAAATGAAAATTCTTAATGTAATATCCTCATTTCTTGTTGAATTCCTAAAAAACAATATTTATAATGAATTTTAATAATTTTTTCGGATTTTTTTGAAGCGTTATTCTAACCGATTCACCCGATTGGCCGATCCGAATAGGTTTTTCAAGTGCCCGATCCCAGCCACCGATCCTCTTTTTAAACCGTTGGAAAATTGTGTGCACCTCTTATTAAAGGTTAACACTCTCTCATCAGTCGTTACAAATTGACAAGTATAAAGGTAAAGTTTAGATGGAAAATGGCAGTTTTTTTTGCAACACAAAAGGTAAAAGCTAGGGGAAATTATCGCAAATATACTTTAATTTAAGTTTAATTGAAAAAAAAAATCTAAACTTTCGTTTATCTCGTCTACACCATTTTTCCTCATTTTCGACTTTTTTTAGACCAAAATGACCTTCGTGACAGTCTTAGTACTGTAATACATATCATTTTATACTGTATTTAAAATAGCGTAGTAACTTCAAGTAATATTACGGTACTTTAAGTACCGCAAAGCTCTAGCCATGACCGTGACGCCAATTACTGTAGTTTAAGTACTGTAAAAACTAAAACCCATTATACAACATTTTATCATTTTTTTCATTCTAGTTATATTTATCTCTTTCATCTCTAATTCTTTTTATGTTTATCTTTTCTTTCTCTCTCTAATTCTTTTTAATATGAGTAATGATCTTATGAGACCCTCTCACACTTATGTGTGTAGGACCCCAGAGGATCACTATTAAATAAAACATATGAATTTTTTTAAAAGGTTTTAGTATCAAATCATGCTCTTTTTTTTTTGCTTTTTAATAAAATAAAAAATATTTATTTATTTATTAAGAAAATAGATTGTGTATGGCGGGACTTAAACCATTGTCATGAAAGTGTAGAGGAGTGCATGGTAACCGAAAAGCCATGCCCATTCTGTAACGTGAATGCATAGGGGCATGCATGATAACCAAAGAGCCAATCTAAACCCAAGTTTAAATAGGTGGCCATATATAATACATTGATATTTAAAAATTTTGGTTTTTCAAGGATAAAAATGAGCAATTTTGTCTTGTTTTTTAAAAAAATATTATGAACTCAAACAACAGACATGTATTTTCGTCTTAAAAAAAAATGGGCGCCATTTGTATAGAGCCGAGGCTCTAAACAATCAAAATAAAGCACACCTTCAAATAGTATCGAGAAATGTGGTTTCAGTATTGGAAATTTTTTGATTGCCTTAAAATATATTTTCATATTTAATTATTAAATTTGAAGCTTCAAAAATAGTGTAGATCAATAAGATATATAAAAACTTGAAAATCTTGAAAATTGACAGTCCAAAAATTTGTTACAAAATGCACTACTTCTAAAACTTGAATTCCATTTTTGTTTCTCATGTCCATGCATCTTAAAGTCGAGATGATTAATTTGATGATATTTGAGCATCAAAACAATCTCTTCTAGTATAATTTTTGAAGTGGGCTTTAATGTGATTGTTTGGAGCCTAAGCTCTATATAAACTTTTTCCAAAAATAATATAATGGATACTTACGTATTTTTTTCCAATATTAATAAATGAGTAATGGTCCTAGGAGACCCTCCCACACCCTATTACTTCAAATGACCACCATTAAATTTGACATAGATTTTTAATAAAGCCAAATCCCTCATCTATATAGTAATTTTTTTAAAGGTCTCCATCAAATTTAATTGTAATCTTTTAAATGTAAAAAATTTTGCATACATGGGTGTGGAGTATCACTACTCCTAAAAAATATATAGTATTTTACTTTATTTTATTAGAATAAATATTTTAGTATTGGCAGGTATCTGCATAGTACATACGCGGTAATTCCCTATTGCGCCTCGTCTTCTGTGTCCGTCTGCACTTCCGGCGCGTTTCCTTTACCCACCAATTATTACTTTCCTCTTTTCCGAATCCTAACAACGCCCCTGCCTCTCCTCTTTCTTATGCCAAACGCTAAACCCTAGAAACTGAAAATTTCCCTCCCATGGCCCCCTAAACCTAGAAACTGAAATCTTACCTCCCATGGCCCCCAAGACGAAGTCATCGTCTTCCTCCTCCTCTGAGAGTTCCTGCTCCTCCTCTGAACAGGATGATAAATTGCAGTATGAGTCTAAGCCCACAGTCCGTCGCGCGGAATCCGCTCCCTCTGAAGATGAGGAATCTGGGGAAGGTAAAGAAGAATCGGAGGAGGAAGGCGATAATGAAGAAGATTCAGAATCCGAGGGTGAGAAGGCGAAGCCACCTACTAAGGCTCACTCCTCCTCCAAAATCAAAGACGATGAAGAATCAGAATCCGAGGGTGAGAAGGCGAAGCCACCCACTAAGGCCCGGTCCTCCACTACCCGCTCCTCCTTCAAAGACAAAGACAAAGGGAACTCTGGTAACCTGCCCACCTCTTACTCAGCCAAGCCCGGCTCCAAGCCCACTGATTCCCCTAAGTCCAGGCCCACCAAGCCTCCTCCCTCGAAACGATCTGAACCCACGAAATCTGGACAAGATGATCACAAAAAGAGGAAGCTCTCCGAGGTAAATCCTGAAGGAGGTGGTAGGCATCTTGTTCACAGGATTTGGAATGTTGCCGAAGAGATCGATCTTCTCAAAGGGTTCCTCGACTATTCGAAGAAGTACCCGAACGGCCTTCAAGACCATGCGGCCATCTACGAGTTTGTTCAGAAGTCACTTAACAGTGACGGCAATAAATCTCAGACTCAGGTTTCTGAGAAGCTCAGGAGGCTCAGGTACAAGTACCAGAACAATCTTGGGAGGGAGGAAGCAGGAAAAGATGTTACCTTCAGGACCCCAGAGGAGCAGGAGGCTTATGAGATCTCTAAGAAGATTTGGGCGGATCTGAAAACTAGAGAGGACGCTGAATTCGAAGAGAACAACTCCCAAAACCCTGTTTCGCACACAAAGATGAGACACAATTCCAAGGCAAAGGCAGTTAAGAAGGAGAATGTTCAGAACCATGTGGAGGGTTGTAAAGTGCCCGAACTGATGGATCTAGACTTGAGGTTGGTTAGTGAGTGGGTTCACCCTGGATTTATGCTAGAGTTCGGTGGGCTAGGGTTTGTTGGGGGGCAGGGGCTTGCGAAGAGGGTATTGGGGTCAATGGATAAATCGAAGTTGAAGACATTGGAGGAGAAGTGGAGGAAGCAGCAGATGTTGGAGATGGATGCCTACTTGAAGAGGGTGGAGCTGGTGCACGAGCAAACAAAGTTAATGGTGGAAACGCTTGAGTCGATGGGTTCATAGTTCCACTTATAGATGCAAAGGTTAGTTTATAATTAATTTGTGATTTGTTGTTGGACTCGTTTTCTTTTTCTGTTTATGTTTTCGGTTTAATGGGTTTGTTTTTTCTTTTTCTGTTTATGTTTTCGGTTTAATGGTTTTGCTTTATAATGGTTGGCTTGTCTTTCAATATGGTGCATCTCCTTTCTGTTTTTTTTTTTAACAAACAATAACATCTTTATTCCTTAAGACTTCACATATTACATCAATATAATGCCAATCGGTCATTACAACAGAACTTCACAGATTACTTCAATATAAATGCTAATTGGTCATTACAACAGAATTATAGGATCATCAAAAAATGAAAATAACAAAAGAAACTACATTATTGTTAGGGCCTCAGCAATCTTTCTCTTGTTCTCGCTGTGCCTCGCTCTATGATATCTTTTTGTTATGCATGATGGATTTTTTTTTTTTTTTTTTGACATGGTGAAATAGGAATTGAACTTGAGATGTTGTTCTATGAAAACCTAGCTGCTACCGCCTTGACCCAAGCCCAATTCCTTATGCATGATGGATTTTAGGCAGCTGGCCAGGCCCAGCACCCAAACGGGTGCCCAAAACCTCAAGCTATATGCATATATATTGACTGTGGAAACGCACATATATGCATATATTTGTGTCAATTTTGTAATTTATTGCATTGGAAATATTGTTACATTTTTTTATATATAAATATATGACATATCTCATGATTAGAATAAACTTGTTCAAATTTCAAAAATTCAAACCATTTTCAAAAAAATTTAAAGTCTGATAGGGTATGTATCAGTAATGGTCTCTGACACTCCATATGAGAAAATAATTCCAATGAAAAAAGAAAAGTTTAGGAAGATTGTTCAAACCACAAAAAATACTCTTGATTCTCATATTCTCAGAAATAGGTATTAGCTAAGAGATTGAGGGCTTATAAAAGAAAAGTTTAGGAAGATTCTTCAAACCATAAAAAATACTTTTGATTCTTAGATTCTTATTAGCTAAAAGGTTGAGTGCTTATGAGAGTGTTCTTTTAACTTTGGGGGTTAGAAAATAACCCTCATGACGTATTTAAACCTTTTTAGGGTCAAAATTATCTCCTTTGCCCTTCTTTGGGTCAAAAATTATCTTTGCCTGCCTAACCCGCTTGGGTGCCTGCCCAAGTACAATTGCCCAAAAGGGCAAAATTATCTCCTTTGCCTGCCCAAGTACAATTGCCCAAAATGGAGCCCAAAATGGAGCGCCCAGGTCTAGGCGGCGGCCAGAGGGCTCTTCGTCGCCTAGGTGCCAGGCAGACTGTTTCCTAGAACATTGGATGTTGATGTCCCCTATGTTTTAGCAAATTACAAGTAATTTGATTTTTATTTAATCTTCTTATACGTTTTCAATGGTCTAAGAAGGGTGAGGACAACTTTCTAGCCGAAGGTGTCTTGGGCGCCTAGCCGTCGGGTTCTAGAACATTAGATGTTGATCTCTCCTATGTTTTAGCAATTTAAAAGTAATCTGTTTGATTTTTATTTACTCTTCGTAGACCTTTTTAATGGTCTAAGAAGGGTGAGGACCTTAAACTCTCCCATAACCTGTCCCAAGCCTGGGTAGATATAGGAGGTGAGTTGCATTAGGTAGGCAGCCATTATAATTCGGTATAATAAATTTTTAATTTTTCAATTTGAGAAAAATATATTTCTCAAATTACAAGATTAAAATCATGATTTTCTATACTAGTTTTATCTATGAAACTTTTTTTTAAAAATAACATTATCAGACTCGGTATTCATGAGCGAATAATTTGTCCTACTTTTTTCATAAAACATTTTGGTATCTAACATCCCTGTATCTATTTTTTATCTATATCAATAATCTACAATCTAGAATAATCTATAACATTATCTAAAATCTATTTATATAATAACTCTATAATTTTTAGAAATATCTAATTTATATAATGAGTAATGATCCTATCCGTCTCTGCCACACCTTGGGGCATAGGACACTTAAGGATCACCATTGGGTCCTGGATCTAATCCCAAGAATAGGATTGGGCTTTACCGGTTAACTTGCTCCCAAGCAGGTAACTGGTGAACCAATGAGACCCACAATATCTCTTTCCCAGTGCTATTCAAAACTCTCTCGCTCTCTCACTACACTAGCAGTTCTCTCCCTCTATAAAAGAGTGGTAGGCTGGAGTTCTCGCTACAAAGGCAGAAAACCCAAGGCAACAGTCTCTCTTTCTCGAGCAACTCTTGCTCTCTCTGAAGTTTTTATTAAATAGGAATGACATAACGCAATCGGCACTCTCTCTCTCTCTCCCATGAGCAACTGTCGCTCTATCTCTATTTTTTATAGACTAGGAATGACTTAATGCAATCAGCATGATGAGGAGGATTCTGCATTTCTTTTGCATATCAAGATTCCATCTCTCCTTACATGGAAATTTCCTTTATGTTCTCATATAAAGAAATGTCTTTATTTTTCTCATATAAGGATTGTATTTGTTTTGCAGCTTTAGCTGATTTTGAATGGGAAAGTATCGGTTGTTGCTTGGAATTTTTGTAGGTTCTCCAAGTGTTGACAGTAGAGGTCCAAGAAGGATGGGTTACTTTGAATTCTATTGCTGAACAAAGACAAATCTTTTTTTCAAGAAACTGAGCAAGACAATGTCATATTTTAATCCAAAAATATTGTAAGGGATATATCTCGTGTTTTGCCATTTTGTGCTTCTCAATTTGTAGCAGTTCATAATGCCTGACTTGATAATCTGATTTTTATCAGCAATAAAAATTGGTTTTATGTTTTCTATGTGCCGAAATTTTCTAACCATTCTTGTTGTTTATGTGTGTCTGGGTATTTGAGAGAGAGAGATGAGAGAGAGTTGCTGGCGCTTGTCATGAATTTGGATGTTTGTAATGGTGACATCTTTCATATTGCTTGGATTTCTTGGTGACTGCATTGAACATGAAATTCAATGCCCATGATGCCACCAACCAAGCCTGGTGGCGTCTCATTTGCCATTCCAATCCCCTGTTGATTTGGTGCCCAATATTTTAGAAGGAAACATTCAGATGAAAAAACCAATGAACATTGTGCTTTGCTGACATTCTCTAATGCTTTCTTTGTAGAAAATAAATCCCAAATCTTTTATAGAACTTCTAAATCGATGTATAAGAATTTGAACAAAAGAAATCTCGCTTTGTCATGCATAGCACAAGTTTTCATCGACATTGCACAAACTAATTACCAATAGAGGACACGTATAATCCAATGAAATGAATACATGTCGACCAAAAAGAGAGAGATGTAGAGGGATCTACAGTTGTGGATGGGGTTGAGAATCGGGTTTGGATCTACCTGGAACTGGATTTGAATACTTCAGAAGGGATCCAAATCAAGATCCGAATCTAGATCCAAATCTGATTGGATCCAAAATGTTAAGATCTAGATCTGGATCCAAAAACTATACATAAGACCTGTATCCAAATCTGGATCTCAAGAGTAGAACTTTTCCAACCAGAATGCTGATCTGTTCCAGGAAAAGGCACTAAAAAAGGACTCTTATATTCCCGTTTTAACAGAGTTTACAAGTCTTAACCTTCTAAAAAAAAAAACATAGAAAAGCTCTCCTGGTCCACCATTTTTTAAACTTCAACGCTTGAATCTTAGATCCAAAGCAAAAAAGAGAATAATGAGTGAGAAGAAACTTCCTACTCCGCCATAGTCATCAGATAACAAGCACTAGCAAGCATGAATGCAAAGGAATACTCAACACCGGTGTGATCACCACATTTTCATTAATCATTATGATCATTGAGAAAGTGCATCATCATTGAACCTGAAAATACACTTGCAAATTGAATCCCAAACATTAAGAAATCCTGCTCGCACTAAAATATGGAGAAATTATTTTTATAAATGTCCCCACAAAACCTAGGATCAAGCACTAGATCTTTATAAGAATCAATCCTTCGGCCATAAGATCTGGTTTCTCCGTGAGTTTTCACCATCTTCTCAGGATCCATGGCTAGAAACAGTGGCAACGTGGAGAAACAATAGAGAAACCGTGGGGAAGATAGGATGGGAGGTCCAATGGAGGAAGGAAGAGAAAAGGCGAAGTTATAGAGAAGACTGGAAGGGAAATACGGGGTTTAGTGGCCGAAGGGAGTGAGTGCAAACTTGTGTCGATGAGAGAGAGAGGAAAACAAGGTTTAATGGGAGAAGGGAGATAAAGGTAAATCTATAAAAAAAAGTTCCAATTATAAACTCCAGACAGGTTCCCCAAATCAACAAGACATGGGATTTTTTACTTGTGGTATAGACTGTCCAAAATTGCCATACACCCTAACATCGCATATCTATCATGTTATAATTGACATAGAGAGGCTTATGCGTAACTTTCTATGGGTGACTCAAAAAATTCCACCTGTTGCGGTGGGATAAGGTATGTACGCCTAAAAAAGAAGGCGGCCTGGGTCTAAGAAAGATTAAACTAGTCAATTAGGTGCTGTTATACAAGTGGTGGTGGAGGCGTCTAAGATTTAAATATCAACTTTGGTATTAGGTGATTGGGGCAAAATATGGGGTAGACAGATTCCAAATGTGGGTTGGAAAGCGAAGTAATAATAGTTGCTTTTCTCCCTGTGAGAATGCCATCACCTATTGTAAAGCTTTGATTCATAGGGATATCCGGTGGAGTCTTGGTAATGGCCGGAACATTTCTTTATGGAACCATAAGTGGCTTGGTGGTGCTCCATTGAAATTAATGTTCTCATTAGTTTTCCACCGTATGGAGAATAAAAATGCCTTTATACATGATTTATTGATTGGAAAAGGGGAAAAAAGGATTGGGAGATTAACTTCATATACAATAGGGTTTCAGAAGCTACACTATCCCAATTTTCTGAGTTACTGTTGTTGTTAAGAGAGGTATATATCCCTTATGATGATGATGCAGAGGATGAGGTGATTTGGGATCTTGCTAAAGATGACCAGTTTTCAGTTAAATTAATGTATGATCTCCTCTTTCATGCTAGGTGGCGTTGGACAATGCCGGAGTTAGCCCGCATTTGGGAGTGGTCAGTTCCTCTGAAGGTGCATGCTTTCCTTTGGCTGGTTATGCAAGAAAAGGTCCTTACTACTGACAATCTTATCAAAAGAGGTAAGATCTTGCCTAATATATGTCTTCTTTATAAGAGTGATGTGGAAACTGGCCCCCATCTTTTTCTGCATTGCCCTTACTCTTATGATATTTGGTGCTGGTTTTTTTGACAGTTAGGTTCCCCTTTGTCGTACCTGCAGATGTTATGGGAGTCTTGCATGCTCTTTCGGTCCCTTCTTGACCTCAAATTGGTGCGCTATTATTTGGCAAATAGGTCGAGGGGTGATTCTTTTGGAAATTTGGAAAGAACGAAACCGAAGAGTATTTGAGGGGGGCTCATTGCCTTGGAATAGCATGTTGGAGAAGATCCTCCATTCTGTCTGTATGTACTTATCGGTTCATAAGGTGGGGAAAGAGATTGTTGAGGTTCAAATTATCTGCTCTTTTCCAGTTAGGATGCTGCAAGGTGAGACCCATTGGAAGATGGTCTCCTCCAGTCAGAGGGGTGTTTAATTGAATTTTGGTGGGAGTTCATATGGAAATTCAGGGGTTGCGGGTTATGGAGGTGTTGTTAGGGATTGGGAGGGTTAGATCTTGTTTTCTTGTACATGGCCGTTAGGGGTAAAGACATCGAACTTTGCTGAAGTTTATACTGTTGTTCAAGGTCTTCATCTCTTCAGGGATAAGAATTTTGGGACAAGGTGTATTGTAGAAGGGGATTCTTTGAACGTTAGCAGCTGGTGCAAAAAGGAGAAGAAAGTTCTATGGGAACTCAGATTTTTCTTGTTGAAAACGTTGGATCTCTATGGGCTTTTATCCTTTTCCTTTTTTCATGTCTTTGGGGTGGTAAATGGCATAGCGGATTCCCTTACTAAACAGGTTTCTTCTCTTGCTAATTTGGTGGTTTCTAATGTTCTCCTTTCCTAATCTGTTATATTACTTTAATAATTGAATAAAATTTATAGAATTTTCTTAAAAAAATATATAGTTTTAAAAACCGAATTCGATCCGCCTACATGCAGATTCGATCTGAATTTCTATTAGAATCTAAAATTTGGATCCAAATGTGAATTTCATAACCAAAGCTTGGATCCATATCTGGATCTAGATAGGATCTGAATTTTGGATTTTCAATCCAGACTGGGTATATTCCCAGCCCTAGTTGTAGAGATGTAGTGAAATAAATGACCATTCTTTTAGTAAGAAAAAGAAAGGTGGGTATGAGTGCCCTATATACAATTATACTTTTTACAGTAAGTTTTACTAAAACAAATGCTTCACAAGGATTTGAGACCACAATGCCGCCTCCTCTATCTCATTTTCCAGGAATAGTTGGAAGCACGCCTTTTCTAACATTGACCTCTATGAAATGAAGCCTTCAGGTGTTCTCCAATCATCCCATAATCCCATGGCACCATATTAGCTTCCTGTACTCGCCTCCTTATATTTGATCAAACAATAAGACTAAGTCATAACGATATCATTGAGAAAAACAAGTTCATACACTAAAGTTGTCTCCACAAAAAAAATCAATTAGTAGCTCCATAACAAAAGTAGCATCCGTCAAAATTCTTCACATTACGATGTAAACAAAATGTTGGAATTGCATCAAACTACACTAAAAAAATAAATTAACCAGGAAATGGCTCAAAGCTAGGTGGTTAGGGTGGTTGATCAGTAGAACATGACATCCTTACTTCCATTCCTAACATGGGTAGGGGACCTCATTACAACTAAACTAACTAAAACAATAACATAAAATAATAATATGTGATTATATGCAATTGACATGATGTCTCATGTGATTATATGTGATTTGATAAGCATGATAATATGTGATTATATGCTATTGACATAGTGATGTCTCTTGTGATGATATGTGATTTCTTGACATGCTTTGGGCGTATTACAAGGCCATGATTGGCACTAGTGAGGTGTGCATAAAGTGATATGTGATTTCTTGGTATGCTTTGGGCATATTGCATGGCCATGATTGACACCAATGAGGTGTGCATGATGTGATATGTGATTTCTTGGCATGCTTTGAGCTTATTGCATGGCCATGATTGGCACCAATGAGATGCGTATGATGTGATATGTGATTTCGTGACATGCTTTGAGCGTATTACATAGCCATGATGGCATCAGTGAGGTGCGCATGAAGTGAAATGTGATTTCTTGGCATGCTTTGAGTATATTGCATGGCCTGATTTGTGACCTCCCCGACTCCCCATGATAGGACGGGAGTAGGGGCAAGAGATGTTTGGGTGGTCGCTTTCCCATTGATAGTAATTAGCACCCAGACGGTGCAAACTCCTAACCAAGTGGGCGTAGGGAATAGTGTCTTGTAAGGCCATAGTGTATCAAAAGCCTCAAAGCTCACTAGGGTTGTGTGCATGTGTCAGGTACTACGCAACATATTTACCCGTTGGTGGTGCTTCTCTTGTGGGATGGTAGAAGTTCTAACTTTGGACCCGAAGTTAGTGCTACTACTGCATGACTTCTGTTGTTGTGAATGCTTGTTTAATCATATATGATACTTAATTGCAATAATGTTTTAAACTAATAAACTTGTATTAGAAATAAATATGTCTAATAGCATGTATTAGAATGCATGAAATCAATACGTCAAATTTCTTCTTACTGGGCTATAAAGCTCATCCTTCACCATATAAATAAGTAATTAGCACAGATGGAGAGCCTGCGCTAGGAGACCATCATGGTAGATGCCGACCCTTTTGAGACTTTAGACTTGTTTATATTTTTTTTTATGATAGTTTAGCTTTGGGCCTTAGGTAGGCCCTTTTAGATTATGTTATGATCTGGGTTGTAATTATTTTTGTTTCTGTGTATAGAATGTACGATGTCTTTTGTAAATGTTCTTGCTTATGGGAATACTTATGTTTATCTTAGTTCCTGATGAATGCTCAAATCTTTTGGATGAGTGGTTATTAGAAGTCTTTTTGAGTTGTTGAGTGCATGTTTGATACCGGCTTTGATTCGACCTTCGTGTTCGATCCCACGCCCTATGCGCACGGTGCGTGGCCGGTAGAGGCGGGATCGTGACATTATGAAAAGGTGAAACATTGTGCAGAACATGAGTATGAAGAAGATTAACAACATACACAATAGTGGAGATTGCTTCAGGCCACATATTCTTTGGAGAATGACAACTTATAAGAAGAGAGCGAGCAGGTTCAAGGATATGCCGATATTTTCTTTCGGTGACTCCATTTTGTTAAGGGGTATGAGGGTCTTAAAGACACTAAACATACATAACTTGTGTATCATATAATAAACCTATGTGTACTTAGAAAAGTCATCAATAAATATTACATAATAGGAAAAACTACTAAAGAAAAAGGGCTGGTACTTCTATTATTACTATGAGGGAAAGATAGAGCCAAGTGTTTTGCCAACTTGTAACTCTCACAAAAAATATCTTTATCAAGTTTTCGTTGGAAAAGACAACAGGTAAAAGTCTAGAATTTAAAAGGCATAACATTTTTTTAGAGTGTAGATGAGCTAACCTATAGTGCTAGGCATAATAGAGAGATATTGATTGCTTATTTCATAAGAAGCATGGGAAATATGACAAACAGGTAGGGCATGTGAAAGGTGAGAAGGAGCCTCACTGAAGTTAACTTGAAGAGCCGACCCTTCTTAGTGTCTCTCCCAATCACCTTCCCAGTAGCTTGATCGTACACCACGTAACCTTTATTAGAAAATGAGACACACTTGTTGTCAACTAATTGCCCAACAGATATCAAATTAAGAGGAAGGTTGGGAACATACCAGATGGACCAGGGAAAGTGGTATTACTAGAGCGGGTAACATAAAGAGGAGATCCATTAGCAATAAAATAAATAATTTTACCAAAATGAAGTGTCATAGAGGATAAGTGCGAAATTTGTCTTGTCAAATGGTTAGATGCTCCTGAGTCTATGATCTAAGTATTTAAAAGAGCATTTGAATTACCTGAAAGCCCAAGACAGCTAAGACATGAGCAAGTTGCTAAAGTGTATTTAAGTCAATAAAGGAAAAACCTGGAATGGGTGGAGGAACTATAAATGATGTAGGTGTAGATGAAAAGTGGGAGTCAACAGAAACATCCTCCATAGTGATTGAACTAGGAATAGATGTCAATGTAGCTAATTAAGTAGAACCACTTATAAAAGCATTTCCATGAGCCTGAGGCATTTTTTGACAATTAGCAATCACATGGCCAAAAATTTTGCAATAATTGTAAAAACGTTCCTTCTTACAATGAGCAACTTGTGTCCTTTTTGTCTACATATATTGCTTTATATTTGGCCATAATTGAAACCCTTATTAGAGCCATTGGGTATAGCTAAAGCTACATCAATGATGTCTGGTAAATTGGATTTGTAAATCCCAAGAGAGCCTAAATGAGTCTCCTCGGCAAGGAGATTTGAGAGGGTAGCATCTAGTGATGAAGCGAGAGTGCAGTGAAGAATGGATGATCTCATATATTCAAACTCTAATCACCGCCTCAATAGAAAATGGAATGAACAAGTCTGATTTTTTGCTTTAGTAACTACCTTGTTAGGTGACTTTGTCTCTATTGAGTCCATCTCATTTCATATGCTTGAGAGGGAATTGAAATAGTCTTGGACAGATGAATCGCCTTGTGTTTCATGTTTTCTTTTTCAAGTGCATAGAGACGAGTTATGTTTGTTTGAGAGCAAATCTTTAAGTTATTATGTGAGGTTGCACCCAATTGTGTGCTCAACTGAATTCATGATCCATGTAACAATGCAATTATCAATCGCAAACCAATCATTGCGCTCATTCTCATCAGTAGGTTGTGATATAGAGTCATCAATATAACCACATAACTTTCTTCCTATAAGAAAACTTCGCATCTGGAAAGGCCACAAGCCGTAGTTCTTCCCATCAAGATGCACAAAATAGTAACACCTTCTGTATTGTTCTTGGATTCTATGACAGGAGAGAGAGAGTGAGAGAGAAGCAAACAATTAAGTAGGATGAGAGAAGCACTAGTAATATTCGACCACTCAATTTCCAATGATGCTCGAATCAAGAGAAATGAAAAGAAAAAATAACAATGACTAGGACATAAGAGAGAGGATTGAGAATGGACAAATATTTTGGAGAGAAGTGGACTTGGAAAAAAAAAAAACAACATTCAACATGCAAAGTCTTTATTATGAATGAGACGTGAGGGAAAGAGTGCAAAGGACGGGGATTGAGATGTGAGAAAGGGTGCAAAGAAAGACTCAAATCAAAGATTCAAAGGTGGCCACAGTTACTGGTTTCTCTCTCTTTGTACTTCAGCAAAAGAACGGAAGCAAAACTGGTTGAAAAGAATACTCTACTAGTACAAGGAGAACCCACAACGATGAGCTCTCTCTAGCGCAGAAACAAATGGATCTCTCTTCATATTGTAAATATTGATAAAAGATAAAGCAAAGAAAGTCGATCCATTAACTGATTCACAAAGAATATGATGATCTGCAGCAATTGACGAAGAAATGAGTAAGTTGCACGAACAATGACTCTAATACCATGATAGATTTTGAAGAAGTATAAATGGTAGAGAGAAAAAGAGAGGAATAGAATCTATGGCCAATTTGCATCAACTCTAAAAAGATTTATATATAATACATATTTAGATTAGACAAAACTATACCTACACAAAAACACAATGACAATAAAAGACAAATGAAATACATACATAAAATTATATTTTATTAATTATACGCACATTATTATAAGGTTGAGGCTATTAACAATCAAAATAATACATACCTCTAAATAGCGTCGAAAGATGATTTTTATAACAAAAATCATTGTGATGGCCTGAAAATTTATTTTCTTTACTTATAAAATTTAAAGCTTTAAAAACGGTGGAGATCTATTCATAAACACCCAAAAATGTTGAAAATTATGGCCCAGATAATACATTAACAGATGCACCATTTTCCAAACTTGAAATTCATTGTTTTTCACGATTTGCTGAAAAAGTCGAACAGTTGTCCCAAGTTACAGGACCAGCTTCCAAGGTCTTCCCATGGCGGAGCAGCCTGCATGCAAGGACGGTCTCATCATTTGGGCAAAAGATCGCTGGAACATTTTGGTATTTGCGCCTAATTTTGGATTTGTTTTCAATTTCTTTATATGTAATTAAGCTTGGCTTTTAGCTTTTAAACGTTCACCCCTATTTGGTGAATCTTCTATATAAACAAGATTAGCTCATTTGTAAAAAAGTTCAGAAAATCACTCCGAAAGGCACCTTTTTTGGAAGCGCTCCAATATCCCAAAAGTTGGGAAGCATCGAGACTAGTTGATTCGTGTCTTGTCTTATTCTGTGAGCCCCTAGTCCATTTGGGAGAGAGAGGAAGAGAACACTTTAAGAAAGAGAGTAGCCATGAGTGGTGAGCGGTAACAGACTTGCTACCGATACCGAGTGCTTTGGTGGAGGTGCCACCAAAGCTAAGAGTTCAGTGATCGGGATTCAGGGACCTTTAAGTCCCTCCTCACACCTATCCAAGTTAAGAACTGAAAGCTAGACACTGGGTCCTTGCTCAGAAAGAAAGTCGGGAACAAAACTGGAAGAGCTTGTTCTCGAGAGGAACTCGCGAATGCGAGGATGAGAAAATCCCCGATCCGGATGAATGGGTTAAGGAACCCAAAAGCCACATGTATACAATGCAAAAAAACAAAAGAGGGACTAGCCAAACAAAGTCGACTGTATCAAGATGATCATCTTCAAGGGTTTTTGACTTCAATACAACCTCTTCAAGTGAATTTTTTAGGTGCACCTTAATTTGATTGTTTAAGACCTCAACCCTATATAAACATTTAATTTAAAAGTGTTTCTCAATCTAATCACACTTTCGAGAAACCATTAATATTTAAACAAAAAATAGAGCTATAAATCTTTTTTCAAAAATAATTTTTAACAATATATTATTTGAAAAAATATACAAATAGACTATTTACTTTTAATACAAAAAAATCACAATCACTTTTATCTATTAGATTCTAATTAGATAGTTGTGAATGTATCATTAACAAAATTCAAAGTAAAAAAAAAAAATCTCACGTTTGTAGTATACACCACCAAGCCACCTAATTTGACATATAATGGCTAATACCACTTGTGACCTCCTTGTAACAAAGATAAACCGTCTCACAGTATACTGTCCCCATTACTTTTACCTAAAATATATCACGTGCTTGAAAGCAATGCACATTACATTGCGAGTATATATATTTAAGTGACCAAAATCTGTCCAAAATGAGTGTTCACCTTCCCTCTTATTCTCTCTACTCAAACTAATGTCCCTCCATAAGAGAAGCCTTTCCCAAAGTTGGCAATAATGAAATACCAGTATCCATAGACTGAAGGAAATAATTCTTGAAAGCCTCGAAAACCATCAATTCCTTACCCATATTTTCCTTACCAACAGTCCCTCACCCATATTTTCCTTAATTAATATGAAGTTAAACTCAAATTGCTCCTCCACAGTCTACAGCTACAAGCTTGAAACATGCGAGGAACAGACACAGAGAGAGAGAGAGAGAGAGAGAGAGAGAGTAGTTGTGATATTAAGGGCTCAAATTGAAGGAATGAATAATGAAGCACAAAATAGTTTGCTCATTATTCTCTAGAGAAGAGGGCTGGGATTGTCATGCATTTACATGTCTAACATTTGACAGTTATAGAAAGAAGATAATATACGATCACATGTAACAATGGAAAATGTGGATGATACAATTGGTTATATTTTCTATACAAGAAACTAATTTCAGAGGTAATCAACAAATGAAATATTGTGAACCTGCAAAAATAACTTGTCATCCATAAGATGCCTTGGCTGCAAGATGCAAGAGAGAGCGCCTGTGATAAACAGTGCGGAGTTTCTTGTACTTTGGAAGGAAGGCACCCAACTCTATCTCCCTCTCAAGAAGCTGCCCGTGCAGCCTCTCACATTCCTCGTCCGCAGCATTCATGGCATCTGTATGTCAAGCAACACCACTCAAACTTATAAACAATACAAAACATTGTGTCAAAAGATTTTCTCTTAGCAAAACCCTATCTAGGAGTTTCTATAAAAAAAATTGAAGGATGTAACCTTCTTCACTTAGTTACCATGTCCAAAGAGAAAAAAAAAATCAGTAGATGCCTAAAAATAATAATATCCGAAGATTAATAAGAAGCCATCCAATTTTTGGATGGTGAAACGTTGACGTATCAAGGAACTGAAAATCCATCTTCCTTTTTAGGTTTTTTCACTGATGTGGTGATGGTAAAGCACATGCCAAAATTTCAAAGTAAAAGTAAAAAAATAAAATAAAATCCTCCTGTTCGTCTTTGACCCGATGGAGAAAGTATACATCTAACAGTGATACGGACATCTACAAAATTGGGGGCCAAATGAATCCCCTTATTGCCTCAATCAATACTACTTTTTCTTTCCTGAAGCAGATGACCTGATTTCACTCCATTCTAAGGTTTTACATTCTGGAATTTTTCATGAGCTTGCTCGCTAGGATAAATATTGGTCTATAAAATTCCGGTCAAACAAACCCCCCTAGATATTTTGTTTTTTCAGGAGGCTTTGGACTGTGAGCTAATGATATGCAAATTAGCTCATGGGTGTGTGCCATGTTTTCCCATGCCATACATATATAATGGAAAAGGTGTGTATAAGATGTCAATCTTATACCATATGACCACCTCAAAAACTCATCGGAAAAGGTCGTTCTATCACCAAAAAACCCTCTAATTGATCATCTCGACCTACTAGATTTACACTATTTTTTAAACTTTAATTTTCATAATTATAGATGAAATTTTTTTTTCAGACCATCACAAGTATTTCTGGCACTGAAACAGCAACTTTCAGCATCATTTAGAGGTCCGCCTTACCATGAATGTCTAAAACTTAGGCATCAACCTTATACAAACCTTGCCCATATATAGATATATAAAAAAGCTTGGGTGAGCCCACTTGCTCATGAAATAGTATAAACCCAACAGCCCAAATTGAATCTGAACTAATCTAACGAACACGGATGTTTGATAGTGTTTGAATTTCAATTTTTTTTCTACAAGTCCAAATCACTCGAAATTTTAAGCATGTGTTCTTCTCATCAAGCCGCACCTAATAGAAATATAAAAAAAATAATTCGCGAATTTTTTTAATCAAAATACCCCCGAAACTTTGGTCAATTTATTTCATGTAAAATATTTTTTTGGTATTTTTCGAAAATTCACCTATTTTTGATGTATGCCTGCTCCAAATTTCAAATGATTTGGATTTATAAAAAAAAATTAAAATTCAAACACTACCTAACATCCATGATTGTCAGATCGGCCCAAATTCAATCTGAGCCGTTGGGCTCATTTTTCCCGTGAACTAGTAGGCTCACCCTACAATC